TTGTCTAAATCCAATTGCTGATCTCAACTAGAATAAACACTACTAAATGAAACATCTACATTTAAATAACTCCCATTCATTCAATGGGTCTACTTTAGTTAGGACTAACTGGATTTGATTCACTCTTACTTACCTTGAGAATTTTGTTTAGAGGTCTAGTAGTTTTGAGCAAACATGTTTCACTAGGGAGATTAGTTACACTTCTATGAACACATTAGTACAAATGTTCTGTAATATTAATTACATGTATTATGTTACACCATTATGAGGTTTTCAGTCCTTTGTTAACAGTCATGTTTGATCTCTTTGAAGTAGTATTTTCAAAATTTAGATCACTCCAAATGTGTTAAATTTATCATGTTTTTAACAAAATGATAAGAGAAAATGCATAGGGAGATATTTAGAATTACATTAAACATAGGCACTAGGGAGGGAAATTATTAAATTTGCTTAACATTTCTCAGAGCCTAAAGAAGAAATGTGTAGTTCAATTCTAAATCTCCAAACAGTAGTTTGGCCACTGCCTACTATTCACAAAGAAATGTTTACATTGATCACTCACAACTACTGGAATAAAAATATTCATTGTTTCTGATATAAGGCTCCACAACACTAAAAGAGGTCAGTAGAAATGCTTCCTACACAGATTTGATTAATGTGTTGTTCAGTACAGTGCAGTTGTTCTAGATATAGAAGCCACATGCAACTTGTGAATTTGTTTCTAACATGCAAAACAAAAAAAAATGCAAGAGTGGTTGAAGGTACCCAATGCTACAACACTCTCCCCACTGCTAAAATGATGTTGTTTTGGTGGAATATGGAATAATTAGTGAGTAATCATTTTGAATGGTCACCACATTTCTATTCATAGTACAGAGAAACCTGTAATCATTGGATAGATGTATCTCATTGTCTTTATGTTTTCGGTTTCAGTCTCATTTTTATTTTGTAGACATTTCTTGTTTTGAACAGCTTAAATAAATTATTGAAACATTTAATAGCTATTATTGTCAGTGTTTTAGTAAATCAAGCATTGATATTCAAATAAATACAATAGATCATAATTTCTTTAGTAACAGATGTCACATTGAAATTTGATTCAAGGATTGTTTGACTTCTTTAGTAAAACACACATATGAAATTCAGCAAGGAAACATATTTGGAGTAATTGTGCTACAAAATAAAACAAAATCCAAAGAAGAGCAATACTTTGGCTTTACAAAAGACACAGATGCCTGGTTCTTAGAAGAGGTTACTTTACTGCTGCTAATGGAGTTTAAATTTTACTGTTTTTATCTTGGTTCCACTTAGTCCAGAGCAGCCCCTGCCTGAATTGTAGTCCTTCTAGATTACCAGAATTTCAACAGAGGAAACATCTAGTAAAATATTCAGGACTGTCGCTCCAATACTATCAACTTTTGTTCCTATCATCTTTCTTCTGTATGATTTTTTTAAACATGTTGATCCTGATGAAGAAGCTAGGAGCTTCAAAAACTTGCATTATGTATTTTGTGCATTTTTGTTGGTTAATAAATGAAATTCAGCAACATTATACTTGAAGGCTGTTTCAACAGAGGCACTGAAATTTTATGGTTAATGTGATCAACCATGTTGTTAAACAGCAACTTCCCTCAAGGCATAAAATATCAACTGATCTTGGAAGCTAAGTATGGTTAATACTAAGATAGAAGACTGTCAGTGAATGCCAGGTGCTAGACCAGTGATGAGCAACCTTTTGAGCTGAGTGTGTCAAAATTCACCAAAAAAATGAACATAACTTGGGTGGGGTATCACTTTGAGGGGGAAAAAACTTATTTTTGTGATATTTATAGTTCAAATAACAAAAAAGTATAATTATAATATACAATTTTCAATAAACCAAAAACTAATTATTTAACTTACCTGCTTAGTGTAAATTAAGATGGCTGCTGTTTCTAATGGCGGGAAATGGCACTCATAGCACATACCCTTGCCTCTCCCAGCCTCCCCCTCACTTATTTCAGTAATGATGGTAAATTAGATATCCACAACACCCCAGAACAGTAGATTGGATGATGGTTGCTGTGGTTATGTGGTTGCTAATAATGGTGATCACAGGGCCCCCAAAGATGCATCCCCCAAGGCATTCTGCTCCCTGCTCCACTGGCTGGAAGTGAGGTCAAAGATCTCCTAACAGCCTAACCAGAAGTCCCAGAACTAGACGCTTTGTGCCAGAGTTCTGTTATTTTGGCCTACAGACCTCCAGCACAGTGTGTCTACACTACAGCAAATGTTTCATCCTCGACTACTGCACTTTGCCGTGCAGGAGCCAAGGATGAAACATTCTTGGCATGTGACCCCATGCTTCTTGATATGCAGCTGCGTGTCATCAAAATGGCTACGCATGTCAGTGCTGACACGCATGTCATAGGTTCGCCATCATGGTGCTAGACATAGTATTTCAGAGGAAGAAACTGGAAAAACCACCTCTGAGTATTCCTTGCCTATGAAATCTATGGTTGTTTGAGGTGCGCAAAAATTGTTATGAGATCACTTTCCGTTTCTTCAGATATAGAGCTACATTAGCATCTCAGTTGTATCCTAGTGTGGATGCTTGGTGTCGTCTTTACATTTTTGGACATGTAGCTAGCATAATTCCACAAAGGGGAAGGTAACTGGTAGAAATTTAAGAAGGAACTGCTGCAGATTGGTGATGGCTGAATCGTGGCTGTTTGCAAAGCTTCATTAAATGAAATGACTCTTTCGTGTGACCTATATTTCACAGGCACAGATGTAGGTCATAACTAACTGGAAGCAAATGTATTAGTTGGAGATTGATTTGACTGTTGCAGGTTGACTGTAACTGTTTGAAAAGCTTGACTTTCTTTAGTAAGATTGTTAAGGCTTAGTGGAAGAAGGTATATATCAATGTAAGAAATTTAATATGTTCTTACCTTTTCTTCTTATACATTTATTTTCTAAAATATAAATATATTTTGCAGTTGATTCCTGTACATTTTCTGTAAAAGATTGTGATAAGGATTTATAGTTTTCAATGATCTTTTTATGTTTAGAACATAATACTAAATTTAGTGAAATGAAGCCAGCAATAACAATTAACTTCAAGGTTACTGGTAATTCATGATGCAAATGTTTGTTTAACCCAAGCTATTTGTGATACCAATTTTCTTTTGCATATGAGGCATGTGTATTGATCCGATAAATACTAAATCAGTCCATCATAGATCATAAACTATCTGTGCAAGCAGAAAATATAGAGGTGCAGAATTTAAAGCAATAAAATGAAATCTTTCCTGTAAAACTATATTATTCAAAACAAAAATATCTCTATATTGTTGGTCATTCACATATTTATTCTTGAATTTTAAGTGGTATTTAAAAAGTCACCAAACATTAATCCTATTTTTCAAAGTTGCATAAATTAATTCTAGATTTATTTAGAGGGGAATTGTAATAATTGACAGTATACAATTCATTTTGTCATCCTTTCCATAATGTTAAGTTGATTTTGGTAATTGGATTTTCTGATTTATAAGAACATTGGTCAATCAGATTTTAGTGATACTAGTTGATCATGTTTTCCTGTGTTTGGATTCAGAAAAATATTTTTGTTCATTTTTATTTGAAACAATGGAGCCAATTCTATCTGCATGATATATTCAGCTAATGAAGCACTGTCATGCTGCTGTGGTTCTTACTATCTCAGAAATGTGTGGATAAGATGCTGCTATTCCCAAAGAGGTCCTGAAAGCATTGGATTTTTTTTTTTGAGGGGGTTAGGGGCTAATAGCTGCATGGGGATCGAACTCATGTACAGAGAGTAGTACCTTCTCAACAAGAGCACCAGGGCTTGTTGTAGAGAGAATGACATTCAGTTTTTAATTAGAATTCTTAGAAGGTAAAAAAGATGTCTTAATGTGAAACCAAGGATTTTTATTGGCTACAATCCATAGAGCAATTCTGAAGATTTTGGATGTGCTGTTTTTTTTCTGATAAAACCTACACCCAGGCATGTCACATCCCAGATGTGAAATTTTATGCCAGATTCATTGCATTCAAAGCACCCCTGACAGATGGCCATCCAGCCTCTGTTAAAAGCTTCCAAAGAAGGAGCCTCCACCACACTCCGGGGCAGAGAGTTCCACTGCTGAACGGCTCTCACAGTCAGGAAGTTCTTCCTCATGTTCAGATGGAATCTCCTTTCTTGTAGTTTGAAGCCATTGTTCCGCGTCCTACTCTCCAGGGCAGCAGAAAACAAGCTTGCTCCCTCCTCCCTATGACTTCCTCTCACATATTTATACATGGTTATTATGTCTCCTCTCAGCCTTTTCTTCAGGCTAAACATGCCCAGCTATTTAAGCTGCTCCTCATGGGGCTTGTTCTCCAGACTCTTGATCATTTTAGTCATCCTCCTCTCGGCACATTCCAGCTTGTCAATATCTCTTTTCAATTGTGGTATGCTTTGAGTGTCTGCACAACTATCTGCATTCTCTGGAATTATTTTTGTCATGTGATGTGCTTTACACTAGAGCATGCTCATATACATTAAAGGCCTTATTTTGGGCCCTTCCCCAAATTTTCTTTTATTGATTTAAAGCACTTAAAGGATGCTGGAGTATTCTTTCACCGAATGAGTTATTTAGCCATTGCACTTGCATGCTGCCTTCGAATGGCATTAAATGGTTAATGTAAATGTAGCACTTGTCATGTAATAAAATATGCCATATATTTAATATGTTTCAATGCTTGTATTTCTCTCCCTTCTCGTTCTCAACAGTAGCAAAGTTGGTTGCATTTGGGATATTTAGTTGGTCTCCAGTTGAAATATTTGCTTCTGTAAACAAATTTTATCCAACATGAATGTATAGGCTATATATATATACACACACACATGCTTAAGACTTTATGGTATCACATTTATTTTAAACAATCTGTTTTTTTCTTCTATAACATCTCAATGTATGCTGAGAGTAATCTCCCTTTCTCTGTTCTCTCTATAGATTGGTCTTAGAGCGCTATATCTCATGGATGGACTATAGCTCATGGAAGAGAAAAATCATATCAGAACAACCTTGGTCTCCAGGTTACCAAAGTATGGAACAAAACCTGCTGGGAATATCCTACAGACGGTTTCAAATGGAACAGCTCTTAATTTATCAGGGAATACTCAGAGCATTGATAAAAACTTCAGCAAGCACAATGGCACTATTAATATGTCTTCCTTCTCTTTTAATTGGAGAAAATCAAATAAGTACCAACTGGCTGATAAGATCAGTAGTGAATCTAGCTCCCATACAAGTTCCAATGAAAGACTGACTGATTCTGAAAAGTGCCCCAAGTCTGACAGAACAATTGGTAAAGAAGAGCTCAGGTTGGGTACACAAAACTCCTTTTCCAAAACAGCAAAACAAAATAACATGTTTGTTTCATCTTCAGAAGAATTAAACCAAAAGTCTTTGCCTGGACTTTCTAGCACAGCTACATTTACCAAAAGTACATTGTTAGGTAGGACTTCTTATTCGGCACTTAACGCTCCAAAATCTCACTTAAATGGAATTTGTGGAAATCGGTCAACTGTAGGGTTGCAGAAGGGTAGAGGAAATTGTACTGCCTCAAGGAGCAGCTCAGGGGAGAGTCTGTCAATGTCAACAGACAATGTTAAATCTTCTTGCGAAAAAATGATTAGGTCACAAAGTTTTTCACATTCCATTCAAAGCTCTCTCGTGCCCCCTGCATCCTTAACCAGGTCACACTCTTTTAATAAAGCTGTGGATCTTACAAGGCCTTATCAAAACCAACACCTAGCTATTAGAACATCTCAGAGATCAAATCTGTTGTCAAGAAGTTTACGGCAGCTGGATGTGCCCAATGGCAATGAACCTTTAAGGTATGGGTTTGGTAGAACATACTCTGCTTTAGTCCCCCCTGCTTTGAAGAAACAGCAACTATCAAATGGATCTGGAGAGGCACCTTCTCTCAGATTTAGGACAGGGCGGCCTTCATTACTGAAGCCTAGCAATCAGCATTTGGGTAGAAAGATCCCTGTGGATGGAAGTACAAGTAAAGATACTGGGAGCTATGCAGTAGAGGACTCAGTTTCAATAAATATTGCTGGGGGTATTGGTGCAGGTGATTGTGAAAGAACAAAAGAGGGAGAAAGTAATTATTATAATTTTGGAGAAAGTGGTTGTAAAATATGCATGGATGGCGATGTGGATGAAATATCTATATCCTCCTTATCCTCTTCTGAGAAAAATGATCTGAGTGAAGACTTTAGTGATGACTTCATAGATTTAGAAGATCCCAATAGAACAATAAAATTCAAAGAAGAGGACATTCCTGTTCAAGAGCTGGAGCATGGGAGTAGAGTATCGTTAGAAGAACATCCGTCTCTTAAAGAACGTGAAAAAACCAACTGTAATTCCGATGAATGGAGGGATAGACACGTATCTGGTAAATATGTGTGGTTATCTTTTTTATTGTATGATAATATATGATATATTTATGTGATGCCCTTAAAGCCATGGTTCTCAACCTGTGGGTCCCCAGATGGTTTGGCCTTCAATTCCCATAAATCCTAACAGCTGGTAAACTGGTTGGGATTTCTGGGAGTTGTAGGCCAAAACACCTGGGGACTCACAGGTTGAGAACCACTGCCTTAAAGGTATTGCCACCATTCTTTTATCTTTTAATAGGCTTCAGTCCCTGTACATTGTTTCTCATTTCCTGGGTTGAAGTTTTCTGGATGTAAGCCTGATTGAACTCAGGTGGACTTATTTTGATAAGATATTTATAGGATTGAAAATTCGGTTGTGAATAACAAATGAGTAAAACCTTCCATTTTTTAAAAAAACTTGGCTTAAGCCAATTTTAGAAGACTTGGGCCTTGATCCAATGTGACACTAGAGCACACGTGTTAAATAAAATACTAGCCCCATGGATTGATTCCGGCTTGCCATATCCTTTTATGTAGCCCATGAGGTTTTCAGCGTGGGGGCAATATAGTTACTTTAATACAATTACAAATGGTCCTTTGAAGACAATTATAAGGCAAATATGGCCCCTTCAAGATGTGAGCTAGTATGCTTAAAATGGATTTAATAGTTTTGCAAGTGGCAGCACAGGAGACAGTATATATATGCTGTTTCTCTATGTACTAATTGTAGAACCATTCTTACAACAGAAAATCTTACTGAGTTCATCCCTCATTTCTGCCAGTGAAATGGGCCCCCTCAGACTCATCCCAGTTCAGTTTTTGATTATTTGCACATTCATTAACAAAATATAACTGTAATGGTTCTAAGAAAGTTGTTTCTAAAAACTGATTCTAAAAGTTGATGGGATCAGTTTGCACCCATATCATAATTTTGACATTATTCTGCATTTGTCTCTTACTGTCTGATTTCTAAAAGCTTCGTGTTTAGTTTTTTTTAGCACTGATGTCCCATTGAAAAATGTTCACAATTTAGTGTTCAAACAGGGGAGACAGTTTAACCAAAGTTAGGTATGGTCTAAGTCATACTGAATGTCATAGCAGTTAAGTATGTGCATAATTTGCACCCATGAAAATTAACTAGGCTTGTTAGTTCTTGCTTCAGTGCTGGGAGTCAGGATGAGTTAATGTACTAATAGATCTTTTACAAGGCTTCTGCTTGAAAAGAATTTTTGATAGGTTGGCAACAAGATGAACCTCCTGGCATATTTTAGTCTAGTGGTTTCCAACTTTTTTGACTCACTGAGCCATTTTAGAATCAATGTATATAGCAGAGCCTTTACGCTACGTTTTGCAAGTTAATGGTGTGTAAGAGTGTTGTTAAGGGGTGATATATAGTAAGGGAATATAGAGTAAAGAGATATTAAACAATTAGGCAATGTCCATACAATAATATTGTATTTTTTAAAAAATAATCTTTATTGAAAGTTTTCTAAGAAATAAAATAAAAGAAGAAAAAAATAAAAAAATAAAAAATATATATGAAGTGGTGAGAGAGAAAAAGAATACACACACACACACACACACACACACACATATATATATATATCTCAAAAAGATGATTAAAAAAAACAGGAGCAGAATGTTATGTATCTCCTTTGTTGACATCTGGAGTATCTTCCCGGTGGTTTTTCCTCTTCTTTCTTTTATCTCATCCCTTCTTCTCTCTTATTTTCTCTTCCTTTCATATTATTACATTTCCATTTCTTTGTTTCAAATAATTTGCCACAGTTGTCCAGTCAGTCTTTTTTATTGGGGTCCCTTTATTTTTTGCTATTAGATATGTTAACCTGTCCATATTTTTGATGTCTATCATTTTTTCTAACCAATCGCTGACTTCTGGGATTTCTTCTTTTTTCCATAATTTCGCATAGCAAATTCTTGAAGCAGTGTTCAGTAAAAAGAGGAGTTTGTCTGTGTTTTTTTTTTCCAATTTTTGATCTGTTACCACTAGTAGAAATATCTCTGGTGTGAAAGGGATTAATATATTTAATATTTCCTGCAGTTTTTATGTATTTCTCTCCAATATATTTTAGACTTTGTGCACGTCCACCACATGTGGAAATACGTTCCTTCTGTCTTTCCACATTTCCAGCATTTTTTGTTTATGTTTTTGTAACATTTCCCAAGTTTCTGGGGTGTCATGTACCACCTATGTGCTACTTTAATACAATTTTCTTTTATGTCTGTTGCCTGTGTGTATTTAATCTTTGTTTTCCAAATGTCTTGCCAGATTTCTTTTTTAATTGTTTTCCCAATATTTTCTTTCCATCTTCTCATATATTTTTTTCTCCTTCTGATTCTGTATTCCACTCCAGTAGTTTTCTATATATCTTTGTTATTACTTTTCGTTCCGAATTTAATATAATATCCCAGAATGTGTTCTTGTTCTTGAAAGCCTCTTTCTTTATATGTCTTAAAAAGTTTTTTATTTGTCTATATTGATATCATGATTTTTTATCATGTTCATTTCCTGTTGTGTCTTCATTAGAGTCACACCTCTTTCTTTCTTTAATAATTCTTTATATTTTGGCCAGTTATTCCAACCCATTTCCCTTCTTTGTGTAGCCTCTAATGGGGATATCCATAGTGGGATTTCTTACTTATATTGCTTTTATATTTTTACCAGATTTTTATAATTGCAGATCTGATGATTTTCTCTTTCTTTGAGCCTTCATACCATAAATAATGGTGCCAACCTGTTCTGAGATCAATTCCTTCTAAGTTTAATAGTTTTTCTTTTTTTTAACTCTGCCCAATCTTTTGACCACATTAGTGCACTAACCTCAAAATACAATTTTAGATCTGGTGTTGCTAATCCTCCCCTTTTTGTTTCTTCAGTCATATTTTTAAACTTTATTCTCGGTCTTTTACCCTGCCAAATATATTTCATCATGTCTCTATTCCAATCTTTTAGTAAATTTTGGTTTCTTATTATTGGTAGATTTTGAAAGAGTAAAATCATTTTAAGTAATATTTTCATTTTTACACTTGCAATTCTTCCTAAAAGTGACAGGTTTAAATATTTCCAATTCTTTTTTTATAATTTTTCAGCTTTCTATGTAGTTATTCTGCAACAATTGTAGATTTTTTGATGTCAGTATTATTCCTAGATATTTTAATTTAGTAACAATCTGAATGTTCCATCTCTCTTTTAATCTTTCTTGCTCTTTTTTTGTAATATTCTTTATGAATGTTTTAGTTTTTTTCTAAATTTAGTTTAAAATCCTGCGATTTCTCCAAATTATTTTATTGCCTTTATTGTCTTTCCATAGATTTTTTTCCGGTTTTTCTATTACACATATGATATCATCGGCATATGCTCTAAATTTATAATCTTGTTTTTGGATTCTTGCTCCCTTTAATCTTGATATTCTCTTATTTTATCAAGTAACACCTCTAATGTTAAAATAATATTATTCATAATATTAATAATAATATTAATAATAATATTGTATTTTAAAAACTTTGAAATTTGCCACAATATCTCAATTTATTCTCAGTTACCACCAATACACATGGTATTGTCAAAACTTGGTAATACATAACAATCTTTCAAAATTCAATAAAGCAAACTATTTGCGTTATAACTAGAATGCCCTGTAGTACAACAATAGCAAATTTCTGTTCAGAGTGTAATTTTTAGTTTTTTAAAATTTTTGATTATACTTTTTGTTTCTTATTCTTTTATATTATTGATTTTTTATTTATTTTATTTTTCTTGAGTGGCCGCAGAGCATCTGGGAAGTACATGTGGCACCCTTAGGGCTTTGCGGAGCACAGGTTGGAAACCACTGCCCCAGTCTATCCAGTTGTATAGTGTAAGCCTTTTTATTAAGGAGTCATGCCTTCAGCCCAGCTATACGTTTTTAAAGGGAAGTCAAAAATGCAGAACTTTAAAAAATCTCACATAAATTCTAAGAATATAGTTAGTACCTTTCCAGCTATTTAGCTCTTTTGTGTGAAAGTTATAAATCACCTTGTAAAATAACATAATCAAATGTTGCAATATAAAACAAGATATTTAAGAAAAGGGGAAAACAGAAGAAAGAAGGAAAAGAAAGTATTCTGACCTTCTTAGCTAATTGTGAATTGCATAGCAGCCAAATAAACACATTTACCTAGTGTGCTCTATTGTTTTAAATTGTTGCTTTGTCAAAGTTTAATGTTCCAATATGGATTGTTGTTTTTATTTTTTATCTATCTATCTATCTATCTTTTTGTTTTTCAGTACAGTACAACCTCCATATCCATGAAACTTCTACCCGTGGTTCCATTTGTTTATGTCTAACAAAATGCCCTAGCTAGACATTTTCCTCCAGCATGATTCTGTAGTATTCTTCATTTCAATAATGTTTGCTGTTATCAACAGTTTTGTATACTCTCCCAAAATCAGGGAACATATTTTCCCACAAATGTGGGGATCATACTGTATTGCACTATATAGTATGATTCGAGACTCCCCTTTTTATGCATATAAATACTGGAACAAACAGATATGAGTATGTAGTTTGATTTATTTGCTTTTGTTTAAATAGCAGATGACAAGAGTGAAAGTACAAAGCATCCAGCTGGAAACAATGTGATTTCCTCTGACATGGATTACAGAGCTGGCTCCTCCTTTGAACTTTCTCCATCTGATAGCTCTGATGGGACATACATGTGGGATGAAGAAGGGTTGGAGCCCATTGGAAGCATCCATCCATGTGGAAGTTATGATTCTTCAGAAATGAATAGTATAGTAAGTACTCAAGTCTCTGTGCTACTATCTCAATTATTTGTGTAGTGTGTTATAAACAAAAGAGAATTAAAAGTGCAATTAATATCTGGTGAGGTTTGAAGTGTAAATAACTAAAAGACATAAAAAAGAAAAGAAGCAGAAATAATCAAAAGTAAGACTAGAGCATGCTGGGTAGTGATACTTTATTACAATATGTAAAAATTGGGAGTGTCACTACTAATGGAAAGAAGCTGTCCTGCTTAAAAAAATATTGCCAATGTTATGGTCTACTTTAAGCAGTGTCCTGAATAAATTATGATTACTTTGGCTTTTGTAATTGCTAATTCGTGTAGTGAAGGACATATTGTTACTGTTTAACTCATGAAATATTTTAATTTGACTTCGGTATTTCATTTCTTCAGTCTTGTACTTAATAATTTTCTATATAGATTTGTTCTATTTGTTTGCATGCACTGAAGTTGTCAATTGCTTGGATCATAACTGAATTGAAATCCAAGGCAATGAAGAGCTGGTGAGGACAGGAAATAATAGTTTTGGTAAAATGAAATCATTCTTTACTCCAAAACCTCTAACTTTTTAAATAAACAAAACTAGTTAAGTTCCATGCTTTGCTGAACAAGTTCCTATATTTCTCTGGTAATTTCATAAAAAGATGCTAGGTGGCAGCACTGGATAATCTTCTGGTTTAAATGTTAAAAGTTTCAATGGAATGGTTGCTTTCATGTGCTTTCTGTATTCTTATCTAATTATATATCAAAATGCACAGCACAGAAGGGCCATTTTTAGCTATTTGGAATTTGTTTTAATGAGGGATGCACTGTTGTTGACTGTGCTTTTGTACACTTTTCATAATTAACACTGTGCTAAATATGTGATTATCTAGCAGTTACCAAACTTTTATATTTTTCTGTTACATCCTTGTTAAAACGTTCAGGCCCTTTCTACACTGCCACTATCTGCTTTGAACTGAATTGTATTAGTCTACATTACCATATATTTCAGTTCAAAGCAGATAATCTGGATTTTATATGACAGTGTAGATGAAGCATCAGTCAGAAAGTTGCTTCTAGATCAATACTGTCACCATGTACAAAACTATAGCTAATGGACCCCATTTATGTTGACTAAAACAGTGATGTTCTATAATTATATTTGGTTTTTCCATACAAAGAACTAGCATGCTGATTGCTTTTAGGACATGGACATCCATTTAAAGTGAATAGTAAGGTATCATAAGAGGCAACCTTCTGTATTGCCTCATAGTTTATTAATGCTTTTGAGCAACTTGAAAATGTATGTTTCCATGTTTTGTATTATACAAACAAATTGCTTCATCAACTTTGCACTCATTATCATAACTTTAGATTTTTACTTACAAATAGAGAAGATTGACAAAATATAAATCATGCTTCTTGTTGGAATACAATTTAGGCCCCCTCTACACTGCCATATAATTCAGATTATAAAATCACATAATACACATTACCTGATTTGAACTGGGTTACCTCAGCCTACAATGCCATATAACACCAGTACAAAACAGATTATCTGGATTTTATATGGCAGTGTAGAAGGGGCAGCATACTGCTTGCATATGCAACACTGTTAGTTGATTGATTGATTTATTGTTATACCTCACCTTTCTTCCAACACAGGAAGTATTTGCTGCTGTTTTTAAAATCTGCACAGTAATTTTGATCTGTCTTCCATGTAAATCTGTTTTTTTTCTGTAGCCCAGAGGACTTTCAAAAGTCTCTTCCTAATCTAGACTATTTGTACACTGTTCAGCAGTGGAACTCTCTGCCCTGGAGTGTGGTGGAGGCTCTGTCTTTGGAGGCTTTTAAACAGAGGATGGATGGCCATCTGTTGGGGGTGCTTTGAATGTGATTTTCCTGTTTCTTGGCAGGGGGTTAGACTGCATCCACGAGGTCTCTTCCAACTCTATGATTCTATGATTCTAACTCAGTTGAGTTGCTAAAAATTAAGTGACAAAATTAATTTTTAAAAATGGGTCTTAGGTTAAAAGCAATTTTCATTTGGAATCACAGTTTGTATAAGAAATAATTATCTTTGATTCTGACCATTTAGTGCTTACTGATTGCTAGGATGTTGGAAGGAGCACACAAATGGTAGTTCTTGAACCGATCTATTCAGGAAGGAAAGGGAGTGTCCTGAGGACTTTCAATGTCATTGTCTAGATTTCAACTCTTGGAATGCAGTTGGAAGCCCTTCCTTTGTAAATCTAAATGAATTGGTGAAATACAGCATATAACTTCTTCTTGATTTGTTTTATTTTGTCTTTAAATAAAAGACAATGATATTTTACAGGATATTTGCCAAACTATTGTAATAATTTTGGAATATTTAGTCATTTCAGTTAACTGAGAGTCCTTGAATAAAACTGCAAGCCTTCCTACAGATAGGTGGTTGTGTGTTTTCTGGGCTGTATGGCCATGTTCCAGAAGCATTCTCTCCTGACATTTTGCCTACATCTATGGCAGGCATCCTCAGAGGTTGTGAGGTCTGTTGGAAACTAGGAAAATGGGGTTTATATCTTTATGGGAATGTCCAGGGTAGGAGAAAGAACGTTTGTCTGTTTGAAGTGTGAATGTAGCAATTGGCTTCACTAGCATTTAGTGGCCTAGCAGTTTCATGTTCCTTGATTCGTGTTGCATCTGGTGGTCCCTATGTAGACTTGTCCACAGCTGCATGGTATAAAGGTAGACTCTTGCAGAGTTGGGAAGTTCCCTCTTGTCTTTTGCTGTGCGTAGCATTTGTTGGATTTTCTTAGCGGGTCTGCAAATAGTTTGTATGTTTGTTTCTTCATCAGCTTCCCTATGTGGTCAGTGGTTCCTTTGATGTATGGTAAGAACACTTTTCCTCTAGGGGGATCTTTGTCTTTACTCTTGTGGCTTGATCTCAGTCTTGAAGCTCTTCTGATGGTGGAGTATCCATTGGCCTAGAGCCCAGTTTATCAAGAATCAAGGAGCATGAAAGGCACTGCAGACTACTTCAACCAGAGAAGTCAGCCATAGCAGAGCACTTGATAATCCAACCTAAACACAGCATATTATTCGAGAACACAGAAATGCTGGACCACTCTAACAACTACATGTCAGACTACACAGAGAAACCACTGAAATCCACAAGCATGTGCAAATTTCAACAGAAAGGAACTATGAAAATGAACAAAATCTGGCTACCAGTATTAAAAAAAAATCTAAAATCATAACAGTTCATAAAGAACAACACTCAAAAAGAGAGGAATTCTAGACAAGAAACCATCAGGGCTAACTAATCACCTCCCAACAAAGGATTCCCCCAGGCACTAAGAAGCCAGACCTTGAAAACAGCTAGGGCATTAAATTCTAATGGTGGCCAATTGCTACATTCACATCTACCTCAAACAGACAAGACTGGTCTGCTGCTTTCTCCCACCTTGGACATTCCACAGATATATAAACCCAATTTTCCTAGTTTCCAACAGACCTCAACCTCTGAGGATGCCTGCCATAGATGCAGGCGAGATGTCAGGAGAGAATGCTTCTGAAACATGGCCATACAGCCCAGAAAACAAACAACAACCCAGTGATTCCGGCCATGAAAGCCTTCAACAATGCATCTTCCTACAGATGTCCGGTACTCCCTGAAAGTGTCAGTTGGTAATGGTAGTGACTTGAAGTATTTAAAGACTGCAAGTACTTCTCCTTTAGCTTGGGTGATAATAATTATTACACTGTGGGACTAGAAGTGGCATTGGAATTTTTAGAATTCTCCACAGATGTTTTTTGAACTGAAAACCAGCTCTCTAAGCTATGCTTTTGTGGTTCTTGGGGCATATGGAAGCTTCAGGAGGGAGAAACCAGTGTGTGCCCTTCCTACATGTATTCATACAACCCTCTTCTCTGAGTACAGTGACAGGGTTAAAAAAAGTCTCCTCCTTGAGTTTGTTGTTTATTTGTTCAGTCATTTCTGACTCTTTGTGACCTCATGGACCAACCCATGCCAGAACTCTCTGTTGGGCGTCACCACTCCCATCTCCTTCAGAGTCAAGCCAGTTAGTTCAAGGATGCCTTCCATCCATCTTGCCCTTGGTCGGCCCCTCTTCCTTTTTCCTTCCATTTTCGCAGCATCATTGTCTTCTCTAAGCTTTCCTTTCTTCTCATGATGTGGCCAAAGTACAATCCTTCCCTCCAATGAGCGGTCAGGCTTTATTTCTTGAAGTATGGACTGGTTGGATCTTCTGGTGGTCCAAGGCACTCTCAGAACTTTCCTCCAGCACCACAGTTCAAAAGCATCTATCTTCCTTCGCTCAGCCTTCCCTATGGTCCAGCTCTCACATCCGTAGGTGACTTCGGGGAATACCATTGCTTTTACTATGCGGATCTTAAATACCATATATTTTGTTATTCAAATCACTTCCCATTTTTCTGTTACTCAAGCATTCTTATAGCATTCTGTTACTCAAACATTCTTATAGCCCTGTCTCCATTGACCACTGTTAAGAGCTTAGGTGTCGTCCTGGATTTGCAGCTGACAATGGAAGCTCAGGTCACTGCTGCCAGCAAGCAGGCCTTTTTCCATCAACAACAAGCGAGGCAACTGGCACCCTACCTATCTGACGAGGCTCTGGCAATTGTCATCCATGCCACAGTCACGTCTAGGCTGGACTATTGCAATGCCCTGTATGTTGGCCTTCCGATGTCTACGACCCGAAAGCTCCGTATTGTTCAGAATGCGGCAGCCAGGTTACTCACAAGAACGCCCATGAAATGCCATATAACACCAGTGCTGCAACATTTACATTGGCTTCCAACTGAGTACCGTGGCCTGTATAAGATTAGTTCTGACCTTTAAAATTCTTTACGGCCAGGGTCCATCGTACCTTAGGGACCGCCTCTCCTTCTCCCATCATCGGAGGTCGCAACGACCAGCCCAACACGACTTACTCTATATACCGGGTCCTAGAGAAGTGCACTTGGAAAGTACCAGACGCAGGGCTTTTTCTATTTCTGCCCCTGCCTTGTGGAATTCCTTGCCGCCCTACATGAGAGCCATGCGTGACTTAGGGCCTTTTACTCTAGCACTTAAGACCTGGCTTTTTACTAGAGAATTTGATCTCTGTTAATTTTTAAATTCTGTATGTATGTATTTTATCTTTTATAATTTAGCTGTAAATCGCCTAGAGCATTCTCGGATGGAGGGCGATTAATAAGTAATTAAATATGATGATGATCATGATGATGATGATGATGATGATGATGATAGCAGTTGAACTTGAGTTGCAGTCTTCTTAACCAGGAGGAAAACCACCCTTGTTATGTACTATCTTCGTCATTTTCTTTGGAAAGATTTGTCATTCTACTCCAGAGCTCTGAAATATGCTTGTTTATACAATTCAATAATATCTATGTTCTCATCCAAAAAGAGAACTTATGTTGGATTCTTTAAATGAATCGAAGTAGTTCATTGCTATGCTAAGAACCCATGTAACTAGAAAAGCACTTGTGTTTTCCAAACTTCAAAACATATGAAATCTGCACATATCCCCCCCCCCCCCCCCCCCCCCACAACTCCAAGTTTTGGCTGGAAAAATATAACACAGTGACATAGTTGTCACACCCTGCCACGCTGGACAAATATAAAACTATAAAAAGAAATGTGAGAAGAATGTAACTGAAAACCAAAACATGAGTAAGCTGGGGCTTGCAAGGACAAATGTATTTAAATCTTACTAGTGGAGAGCAGTAACACGAAAAGAAATAAGCCCAATCTATAGTCTCATTGCAGAAATGGTATATAAATATGGAAACCAGAAAGATAAATGAACAGCACACATTTGGATGATTCTGATGTCGTGGTGCTTGGCATCCCAAACTGCTAACCTGAAGAGAAATTGCAGTTAAGAAATAGTAAATGTCTTGTTAAATGGAAATAGAGAGTATTACATCGGTTGATTAAATCTAATCTTACAAGGTCTCTTCCTCTTTTTCTTCCTCTACTTCATCCTTCTTTGGGGAGGGATTGTTATTGGGTAAAACAGGGCTTTTTGCTTGCAAGAGATAGTAAGAAAGGATGGTGAGGTGGTGTCTTCCTAAACATTAGGTTTTTTTTACTATGTGATTGTTTAGTTGACTTCAGGGAGACTAAAGATGCTGATTGCGATGTCACTGGCTGCTGCTGCTTCCTGATTGGACAGAAAGTTTCTTAGGCTGGAAGTAATCTCTGACCTAATATGATTGCCATGGTAGCTTCAATAATAACCCAATGCCCCCACTTTACATCTTGTTCCTGAACCACTGTGAAGTTGTAACTGTTCATCTTACTTTTTTTCCCCTTAAAGGTATGGATATTCCTGTGTTGTTAACTTCATGGCTAACACCAGAAAACAATAGTATATGGGATATGATAGGTCAAAGTCAACACCATAAATTCAAGGTCCATATATTAAAATCAGTTTTATCATATTATCTTGATACAGTGCCACTGTTAAAAGTCAGTAGCCAAACAGTAGTGTGACTGTAATTATGTCACACATTTTAGGTAACAATTGTAACACAGTAGCATACCCACAATTTTATTTTGCTCACTTGAGTACAGGATATCATTGAACTTGACATCGTGGCAGTGCTTAGGGGTAATATGAGGGATTGCATCTCTCATATAATGTTAATTTATATTGATTTCTATTAGCTGAAATCTTGTACTCTTCTTTCTTACTATTTTTAATGTTTAAGGCAGTTTGATATCCGAGCCAGGTGAAGTAAATATTTTTATACATAAAATATGTGTAATATGTATTTTTACTTATCGTATCAGGAGCAAACCAAGGGTGCAGTTGTAATGTTTTTTTTTAAAAAAAAACCCAAAGTTTAAAAACTTGGCATTATATTAAATGTCCTTTCACCAATAGCTGGCCACTTAGAGTGCCTCTTGTGTTGTTATAAGAAGGTCCTCCATTGTGCATTGTAATACGTGGTCTGTGGTTGCTCTTCTCTGCATATTATGGACTCCACTTTGTGGCCCCATTTCTTAAGGTTGGCTCTGCACCTTGTGGTGCCAGAGTGCAATCTGTTAAGCGCCTTCCAGGTCACCCAGTCTTCTGTGGAGTCTCTCATTCGGTATCAGCCATGGATTGTGGATCTGGGTTTTAGCCTGGCACTTTTGGACTCTTGCTTGCTGAGGTGTTCCTGCAAGTATCTCTGTAGATCTTAGGAAACTATTTCTTGATTTAAGGCAGTGGTTCCCAAACTTATTTGGCCTACCTCCTGGGAATCAATTTTTCTAAATCTTCTCTTCTTTTATGCTTTCACTGCCCCCTTAACAGTTATTCATCGCCCCCAAATGCATCTGTGGCCATTATGCCCCCCCCCCCCCCGGATTGCTGCAGCACCCACCAGGGGGTGGAAACGCCAACTTTGGGAATCGCTGATTTATGGCATTGGTGTGCTGGCTGATATCCGAACAGGGGATGGGCCAGAGATGTCACTGCTTTGGTCCTTTCATTATTGGCTGATACTTCCCAGCAGATGTCAGGTGGTGTGATACCTGCTAAACAGTGTGATTTCTCCAGTGGTGTGGGGAGCAGACATTCTGTGATAATACAGCATGTCTCATTAAGAGCCACATCTACTATTTTAGCATGGTGAGATATGTTCCACACTGGGCATGTGTACTAAGCAGCAGAGTAGCAAAGCGCAAGGACAGATGTCTTCACTGTATCTGGTTGTGATGCTCAGGTTAGCTTTCATATGATATTGTTTCTAGCACCCACTTTTTGCTTGATATTCAGGCAGTACTTCTTGTAGGTTAGAGAACGGTCCAGGTATTTGGGTGTACTTCAATGCTCCAGTGAGATTCCTTCCCAGGTAATCCTCAGAGCTCAAGATGCTTGTGTTTTCTTAAAATGAAAAGCACGTGTCTGTTTTTTAAATGAAAAGCACATTTCCCTGTAATATGCAGTAAGAGCACCTAAAGCTTCAGAGAGTTTCTGTTCAGTTATCTCAAAGCTACTTGAGCAGTGATGCCACAATCGTTAGCATAGATGAAACTCTCTGTCCCTCCTGGCAATAGGTGATCATTTGTGTAAATGTTAGACATTGATGGAGCAAGCATGCTCCCCTGAAGCAGGCTGTTCCTCTGTTTTCGCCATCTGCTTCTGTGGCTTTGGAATTCACCAAAAAAGCTCCTGTTTTGTACTAGATTTCCTATGAGGCGAGTGAGGTGGTAGTCCTTTGTGATATTATATTTTTTCTTCAGGAGAAGGTGATGACTTAACAGTGTCATAAGCTGCTGACAGGCCTATGAAGACAGCTCCTGTAATCTGCTGCCTTTTAAAACCATCTTCTATGTGCTGAGTTTGGTTCAACACTTGTGATGTGCAGCTTTTGCCTTTCCCGAAGCCAGCTTGCTGAGGAAAATACATGGGTCTATTTTTTCCATAATTCTATGCAAACTAAGTCTTTCCAGAACTTTGTAAAAATGGCACAACAAGGAGATTGGCTTATAACTTTTCAGATCATTATGTAATATGTATGACAGATGCATATGAATTATTTTACAACATGGAACTTTTAAAATAGGACTTCACAATTATTCTTATTGCTATAAAATTGAATTTGTAATGAGAAAAATTGTGAGAGGGACCATGTATTTAAATTGGAAAATACACTTTAAGGGTACATAAAAAGATATTGCCAGAATTTACATTTTTGCTCCCATCTCTGGAGCTAGACTTTTGCAAAATGATCTGATGAAACTGTTGCAGTTATTCCCTCCCTTTTTATAAATTTCTGTATAGCTGTTCCAGACTAATTGAATAGTACTGGAAGACCCTATATTTTTTCATTTCCAAATTTCAGACCTGTTGTGCTCATCTTTTGAAAGCTCAAACAGTAAATTAGAACTTGCACAAGAAATGTGAAGAAAGTTAGTTGTTCTGGTACTTCCATAAGAAACAAAGAAAATTGCTTTTTAAGAGACTTGGAGCTAATTAATTTCTATTTATTGCAGAAATTGCCATAACATTTTTATTTCAAAATGTGTGTAAACATTGTTAAACTGGAAAAACAGCTCAGATATACACACCTTACAGCATATTTCCCCCCCTGTAGGATATCTTGAACAACCTTGATTCATGTGATCTGGAAGATGATGATCTTATGCTTGATGTCGACTTACCTGAAGATACACCCTGTGATAATGGTTAGTCAAACAATTCTGGTGGTGTCTGTCTTGCAATTCATTGCTGGTATATGACTGTTCTTCCTTCTTTGACTTTTCCTTGTCATTCATCACTTTTTCTTCCTGAATGTGACATACTTCTAGAGGACATGTGAAACACAAGAATTGTCATATCATTTTTATGTGACCCTTCAGATGCTGGACTACAACTCCTGTATTATCAGACATCTAGAGCTGATGGGAGTTGAGATACAGTAACATCTGGAAGGTTGTAGTTTTATTTAGTCAGGATAATATTTTGAATTTAGATACAAAGCTTGTGGCTGTGATGTCTGACTGTCAAGTGTCTTTTAACATCTCTCCAATCCCACAAGTGCTACTGGATTGCAATTCCCATCATTCCAGTCCACATGATAAATAATAAAAAGTAATGGCAGTGTTATATAATTTGGGGAGCCAAATTGGGGAGAAAAACCCAAAGAGCACTGATTATTATGAAAAAAAATATGGTTTGACTCTCTGTATTCACCAATCCTTTGTCCATAGATTCAACCTTCCTTTGAAGGCAACCAAAGTCAGATGTTGCCCTTATGAAAATGTGTTTGACACCCCTGTCCTATAGGTATTAGTATCAACACTAGATTCTGCAGCTCAGCCTCATATCTATGTTCAGGGGAAAATACAGTCACTGCTAGATAATTTTCTATAGCACCATGTCAGAGAAGCCATTGAAATATACAAGCATGTGCACAATTTCAACAGAAAGGAGGAAACCATGAAAATGAGCAAAATCTGGCTACCAGTATTAAAAAAAACCTCTAAAATTAAAACAGCACAACAACAGAGAGGAAACAAACAAGGAAATCTAATCACCTCTCAACAAATGTTTGCTCTAGGCACCGTCAGGCCATTATATGCTGATCAAGGTGGTCAGTTGAAACATTCACACCTAGCTCCAGCAGACAAGAGTCCTTTGTCTCACCCTGGTCATTCCACAGATATATAAACCCTTTTCCCTAGTTCCAACAGACCTCACTACCTCTCAGGATGCTTGCCATAGATGCAGGCGAAACATCAGGAGAGAATGCCTCTACACCATGGCCATATAGCCCGGAAAAAAAAAACCCCTACAACAACCCAGTTTTGTTTTAAATTGAAAATTTACTTCAGTTCTTCCACTGATTTCGGTATGTTCAGTTGTTCTTAATGTCACACATTTCACCTTTTAAAAAGCTTTCAGTGTATTATACAGTGTATTCTATGTAATGCAAATATAGTTTTTTTTAATGCACTCACCTCTTTGAAAAAAAATCCTCTGCCATCTAATAATAATAATATAATTTTTTTTGTATCCCACCTCCGTCTCCACGAAAGGACTTGAGGTGGCTTTCATGGTGCCAAGCCCGAACAACACAGTTAAAATGTAACACATTAAAATGCAAAACATCAGTATAACAAAATAAAACAACAACGTTATCACAATGTTTAAAAAGGCATTGAAACCAACAACCAATAAACAAATTCCATTTATGAAAACAGCTATGATTGTATAATTAATGTTATTGTTTTTAATCAATTGTGTATTTATGGTTTTATATTGTATTATGTTGTGGTATTGCGGCATCGAATTGTTGCCAGTGTTAGTCCCCCCTCGGTGGTAGAAATCTTGTAAATAAATAAATAATTTATCATCACGGGTGGTCAGGCTAGTGCAACAAGGGATAGGCGAATGAGTAAAGTGCATAGATCATGTAGCAACAGTAAGGATAAGAGCAATAGTAAAGTGCAGGACAGATTTTTGGTCTTATCTGGGGCTTGCTATCTAAGGCACAATGAAACATCCATGTCTTTAACTGTTTGCGGAAAGTGAACAGGGTGAGTGCTAAGTGAAAAATATTTTTTAAAAATACTTTCAGATATCTTTAGATTAAATTGTGAAAATTGTTAAACTGGGCAAGATTTCTAGTGTCTCATGAAGACATTCAAATGCACCTTGCAAGCTACAGACGATTTAGTATTCTTGAATTGACTCAACCAAGTATATAATAGTTCATAGGTTTTCTTGTTCCATTTTGGCATCTGAAGGAGCTTGCACTCTATTTATAGTGATTGTTCTAGTGGAACAAGTATGTGCTCAGTGAAGGAGGATGGTAGTTCTAAATCACAGGGTCAAACTGGGCTCCCTTCCCAGCAATACGCAAGCAGAGAATGAGCAGGAAGCAAGGCCTGTTTACCACTGTCTTATGCAAAACACTGTCTGAGTAGGCGGCAGAATAGCAGACTGTTCAGTTATGAAAAGCTCCTCATAGTCAGGGCCTGATAATGTGAAGAGAAAGTATTCGGTAAGTGGAAAGCCTGAAGGGCTTCTTGAATCTCTTTCTGTCTAAAATTTATGTTATGGCTTTGCTGTTAGAAGTTTATAAATCATTTCCAGATACAGCTTTCAAAAACAAACTGTTGCTGTTCACTTATATTGACAGAATGCTAAAATTTCTGTTTCAGCTTGAAACTTTCTAAAACTTTTCTGTAAAAAAATCGGTCTGAGTAGTTAGTAATATGAATATTGAAAAAGGAGACTTCTTACGCTAAAGTGGTGTTTGAATCACTTTTAGATTCAGATACCAAAGAAATTATTGTGGAAAACAAACCAACAGTACCTAGATGCTCTAAATAAAAGTTTTAGTTCGTATGCAGTCTTTCATGAATTAAATGCTTTGGTGAAGTAACAGTTTTGTGGGATTAAATTAGTTTAAGGGTGTCAACTATGAAATTTCTGGGAGTGGAAAATTAGTGGACTTTTAAAAATGTATATAAGTAGATATTATTAAAATCTGGTTGTTTTTTTAATGGACAGATTCCCATCAACTTTATTTTTTCATTAAAAAAAAGAAAACTAACAAGTTAGCACCAGTAGCTAACTTTCTACACTCTAATTTTTGTACTTATTAAAGGTACATCATTGTAAATTGGAAGTGGATAAGGTCTGACAGCTATGTTGCATTTCTGAGTGAGAACACTTCTGTTTATAGACTGAGGCTGAACTATTTACTCCTGTCTGTAGTGGATTGTGAAAACATGAACCGTTATGAGCGGCAAGAGCGAAATATCAGACAGCAGAAGGAGGGGCTGTGGAAGAGGATGCCACAACGATGGAGTGCTCAAGACCATTATCATCTTGGGCATCCTGACCAGTATGCCCACAGCAAAAATGATCTTAACAGGTAAGGTACTCAGAGAAGGAATATTTTCAAGCTTTTGTGTGTGTGTTAAGACTAGATGATAACTTTATGTTCTGCCATTGGAGTAGTTGTTAATTTAAAAAGAAGAATGGTTGCTGCCCCAAGGAACTTAAAATACAAATTTAGAGGAAGCAATAGTAGAAGATTACCAAGGAAGCTGAGGCTGAAGCTTTATTTAATACAATACTCCAGTCATGTCCTCTTTTCTATAAATGCTATTTAACTATGAGATAGGTTAGTTTAGTGCACCCTTCTTTCCTACTGCCCATCTTAATGGAACTTAAGCTCACATACATGTGCATATTTACTGGTGTATTGACAACTTAGCAGTTTAATTATTTTCACATCCAACCAGAAATAAGTCAATAAGTCAATGGTGCTTATTCCTAGTGGGTATATTGACTAACTCAGCACATATTAGCCAATTCATTGTATGTTGGTACACGCTTTTAACATGCTAGCTTAAATACAAAGACCTATAATAGTGAGTGTATTTAGTATACAGGCAGTCCCCGAGTTACAAACATCTGACTTACAGACAACTCGTAGTTGCAAATGGGGGTGAGACAACAGGAAGTGAGATAAATCTACCCCTCGGAAGGGAAATTAATTCCTGAAAAAGTGTTGATGGGGAAAAGGTGTCTCAACTGAAGCTTTCTTTCCACGACAAGTCATTTTTTTCAAAATCCAGTTATCACAGGGACAGAAAGTGAGGTGAAATCTTCTGAATAGAAGCGCTGACTTCAAAAAAACACAACAAGACTGTAAATTCTTCCCTATGCTATCCAAAGCTAAAAAGAAATATTGGCTGGAATTACAGTTAAAATGCACCTGTTCTGAATTACAAACAAATTCAACTTCAGATAAACGTTGCAGAAAGTATCTTGCTTGTAACTTGGGAACTGCCTTTAGTGCTTAATAGACAACATGTTTGTATCATTTCTATGATGTATTTGCATTCTATTCCTGGGAAATGTCTTGTAATAAAAGTATTACAACAATGTGATGTGGCGGCAAAAAACGCCAATGGGATTTTGGCCTGTATCAATAGGAGCATAGTGTCTAGATCTAGGGAAGTAATGCTACCCCTCTATTCCACTTTGGTTAGACCATACCTGGAATATTGTGTCGAATTCTGGGCACAACAATTCAAGAGAGATATTGACAAGCTGGAATGTGGCCAGAGGAGGGCGACTAAAATGATCAAGGGTCTGGAGAACAAGCCCTATGAGAAGCGGCTTAAGGAGCTGGGCATGTTTAGCGTGAAGAAGAGAAGTCTGAGAGGAGATATGATAGCCATGTATAAATATGTGAGAGGAAGCCACAGGGAGGAGGGAGCAAGCTTGTTTTCTGCTTCCCTGGAGACTGGGACGTAGAACAATGGCTTCAAACTACAAGAAAGGAGATTCCATCTGAACATGAGGAAGAACTTCCTGACTGTGAGAGCTGTTCAGCAGTGGAACTCTGCCCCGGAGTATGGTGGAGGCTCCTTCTTTGAAAGCTTTTAAACAGAGGCTGGATGGCCATCTGCCAGGGGTGATTTAACTACAATATTCCTGCTTCTTGGCAGGGGGTTGGACTGGCTGGCCCATGAGGTCTCTTCCAACTCTTTGATTCTATGATTGTATTTTGTTGTGAGTGGGAAGGCCCTATATCTTTATGTTAGCTGATTTTCTGTATAGATGGGAATGCTGGTTTATTCAGTTTAGACTCTGGATAGCTCTCTATGTGGTATCTGACTGAAAATAAATGTTTTTTATCTCCACTCCATGGAACATAGCTATATTTCACATCAAAAGGCTCTGCTGCCACATTAAGGATAACTATGTTCTAGAAGGCAAAATAGAATAGATAGGATATAATAGCTTTATTATCATTGTACTATTTCACAGTAAAATTAAATGATCTTGTGGCACCTTTGAAACTGAGAGGAAGAGGTTGGCAGCATAAGCTTTTGTAGACCTAAATCTATCAAATGACCATTCAAGAGATGCAGTATACAAAAGTGGATATCAACAAATTCTCTGAAATGTTCTGCTATTTGAGGTTTTAAAAATATTTTTAAAAAGCATTATTCCTTCATTTGCATGGAAAATAAAAAGACTTTTAAGGTTTCACCTTGTATGGCACATAACAACAACAACAACTTTATTTATATCCCTCCCACCACCATTTCCCAAAAAGAGACTCAATGCAGCTTACAAAACAGCACATCATAGTGCCATAACATATAAAATAAATCAGTGTTCATGACAAAATAGTATCAATTAACATAAAATAACATGTACAGAAATAACAATTTAAATAAAACACTCAATAAAAACATAGGAATAGCTACTAATTAAAATGGGCAAGACGATCAAATTAAACATCCCAGCCACAACCAAGTTAAAAGCAACGTTCAAGTGCCAGAGTCAGTATTTGATATTATTTGGTCATCTAGTTTAGCAGTTACCTTAACCATTGTTAAAGGCTTGCTTAAAAAGCCATGTTTTCAGCTCCCTCAGGAGTTGCCTAATTTACCTGATTTAACATACACATGTCACAAAAATAAAATAACCTTTTAATTTAAATATCTGTTTCACTCAAATATATGATTGGGTGACAACTCAAGTGAGTATTATTTTTTTCATCCAGTATTCATCTGAAGGTAACAGAGTGATGAATAAAACATGACTAACATGATATACAGTAGAAACATATTTTAAAAGGGCATGAATTAAAAGTATGCAAACAAATAGGTTTTTGTTTGGTACTGAAGTACTAGAAAGCTTGGCACCAATGTACTGTTGAGGAAAGGAGTTGCCAAGGTTACTAGTACTGAAAAGGTTCTGTTGCGTGTTGCAGCAAAACAAATTCTTAATGGAAGAGTATACAGAGCAGAGCAGTATCTGACAGTCTTAAGATCTTAAATTAGATATGAGGTTAGTATCATTCTGATACATGAGTTGACTGAATATGCTTCCTATAAAAGCAGATAGGAAGTTTAGACTGTTCTCAAAACATAGCTGTATTGCACATCCAAAGGCTATGTTCTAGAAGGAAACATTAGAATCATAGAATCAAAGAGTTGGAAGAGACCTCGTGGGTCATCCAGTCCAATCCCCTGCCAAGAAGCAGGAAAATTGCATTCAAAGCACCCCCGACAGATGGCCATCTAACTTCTGTTTAAAAGCCTCCAAAGAAGAAGTCTCCACCACACTCCGGGGCAGAGAGTTCCACTGCTGAACAGCTCTCACAGTCAGGAAGTTCTTCCACATGTTCAGATGGAATCTCCTTTCTTGTAGTTTGAAGCGATTGTTCCGCGTCCTAGTCTCCAGGGCAGCAGAAAACAAGCTTGCTCCCTCCACCCTATGACTTCCTCTTACATATTTATACATGGCTATCATGTCTCCTCTCAGCCTTCTCTTCTTCAGGCTAAAAATACCCAGCCACTCCTCATAGGGCTTGTTCTCCAGACCCTTGATCATTTTAGTCACCCTCCTCTGGACACATTCCAACTTGTCAACATCTCCCTTCAATTGTGGTGCCCTGAATTGAACACAGTATTACAGATGTGGTCTAACCAAGGCAGAATAGAGGGGTAGCATGACTTCTCTGGATACATGAAGTCTTATGGCACATGGCAGACAAGCAGTTGTGTTTGGCATAAAACTTTATGGACTTTATGGACTCATATAACTACCTCCTGGTAACTTTCCTAAAACATATTTCAGGAGCTGCAACTATTTAGATCCACCTCCTGTTGGACACCTTGAAGGCTATGCAGCACAAAGCTTGTACCCACCTCTGAGAAGTTTCCCGCCGAACACTGTGATGTTGGATGAAATGACCCTTCAGCATATGGTTCAAGACTGTACGGCTGTGAAAACTCAGTTATTAAAAATGAAAAGGATACTTCAACAGGTCAGTAAGTTCAACATACAATATCAAGGTAGACTGAGACAGTTATTAAAGCTTATCTTATGACAGTAACATTTAAAAGCTGTTTTTCTCTGGATTGTGATTTGAAGTAAAAGTGTTTACTATGAGGAGAAAAGTACATACAATGAAGAGTAAGAAATTTATGATGTCTTCTAGTTTTTTTTCCTGGCACACCCTGTTGGATGCTTTTTCTAAGGATCGTCTAATATTTAGAATTGCGTTTCCAAATGTGCTAAATGCTGTAAGCAGGGCGGGTCTGTTTTGCAAATAGAACATCACATAACATCACTCAGGGTAGTTGCTATTGAAACTGTATGTAGTAATTCATTGTAAAAACCAATTCACTGTTTGAATATAGCATAAGTACACACACATTTTTGTTAGGATCCAAAGATACCATGAAGGGTTTTTATCCTTTTTACCTTTACCACGAGTTCTCATCCAAAGATCCAAAGGAAAATTAAGAGACTCTTTAGCACAAAACTTCATGAATTACGAGGGGATACTGTCAGATGTTATTCTCCTCCTGCACCACTCTATATTTAGATAATTCCACGGTTTCTAGCATTTGATAACAGTAATGATACTATACTCATTGCCACTTACATGTGGAGATAAGGGTTGATCTACATCTCTGATCTCTGTGTTTAACTGCATCCATGAACTGCAAAGTCAGAGATCTGGTGATGGGGAACTTGTGGAACAAGGAACCTAGATAGTTTGAATTAAATAATGCTAAAACAATACTAACATACTTAAAACACTTGGAGAAAAATGGTTACAGGTAAGCAGCCATACCTTCAGTGGAAGAACCCAGGGGCCATATTGAAGGTGGAGGCTGGGGCATGGGAGGAGAAGTGGGTAAGAAACATAATTGTTGTTGTTGTTGTTATTGGTAGTAGTAGTAGTAGCAGCACTAGTATTAGTATTAAATAAGGCAGCTATAAGGAGTTTAAGGGGCTATAAGGAGCCCCCGGTGGCGCAGTAGGTTAAACCAATGAGCTGCTAAACTTGTTGACCAAAAAAGGTCATAGGTTCGAATCCGGGGAGCGGCGTGATCTCCTGCTGTTAGCCCTAGCTTCTGCCAATGATACATTCCATTGTTGTGGTAACGGATAGCTAGGTTACCCTTTCTCCAACCAGGATTGCTCTTAGCCAGAGAACAACCTGCTTCAAACAAGGGTGTTCCAAGTGTAGGCTTTCTGATTTAGCAGCCCTGTCCCCAGTGTGTACATTAAAGGACCACCATTAAGTTTGAATTTGCAAAAAAAGTTCAGCAGCTTGGAAGTTTCTTCCTGAGCTTCTCTCCCTGATAAATAAAGCCGTGGTTGACAGAACCAGATGTTTAGGACATATGTCTCATCTGTTCTTAAGGCCACAAGTGAATTAAAACATCACATCAGTCACATTTCTTCAGAATTAATTGGTGTTGTTGACAATGATTATGCTGTGGCTAAGTTTAATGGTAATTTAAATGATATTTTCTAGTGGTTCTGTAAAGGAATGCTGCCTGATATAAATATTTTATGATGTCATTGGTGATGCCTGTTTGACTAATAGAGCCCAGGATTCTTTGTTCCTTAATGCAGCTTATGTAGCCTTCGGTCAGAGAGATTATGTATCTTTCAATAACCCTGAACAATATACGAAGAATTCAGTATAGGCCACATAGGCGAAAAGTAAAATCGGTAAAAAAAAGGTTTATATTACGGAGGATGCCTCTAAGGAGACTCTGGAAATGTAATGTTTTAATTTAGCCCTCATAAATGTTACAGTTCATATTTATATAATGCCTTTGTGTTAAAATATTGTTTAGGTACTCTTCAGTTCATCTGTAATATGAAGCCTTTTCTGATTTTCAGAACACGGAAAGCTGATATATACTATTTCAGATTTCCCCTCCAGTTTTATGTATTCTAACTTGTAGTAGCTGTACAGTATTTCATACAGACATCTTTTATATCACCTGCCACCTGATTTGTTTAACTCAGGAAGTCGTTGATTAAATGTTGGGCTTCCTGCATTTAAAAATCAGTTCAGATGATCTAACTCTGTAATGAAGAGAAATGGACAAACTTTTCCCTAGGCACACAATCCTTTCTGTCATGTTACTTTCATAACATATCTTCAACCAACTCATTGCCAGTTTAAGAACAAACAAGACGATTCTACCAGTTTCAAACTGTAGGTTTAAAGTACGACATGATCCCTTTGCATATTGATATCCCAGACTAACATGAAAAGTTTTTGAATTTTGACCATGTATAGTTCTATGTACAATTTAGGAGATGTGTAACAGCATAGAATATTAATATATAATGCAGTAATTAAAATTGGGGGAAAATGCCTCCTAAAACACCTTTTAACTGAAGAAACCTGAAACAATTTAAAATGTTAGATCTTTAAAGTTGTTCTAAGAAAGTGCAAGAATGCTTAAAACTCTTTGTTAAATAAAGGGGCTTTCATCAGACAACAAAACATTACAGAAATGTTTTAGACAAGATGTTCTGGAAAGGCTATTTTGTGCTATTGAACAAAGGAGAATTCCAGAAAAATAATGGGTAATTTTACAGGTGTGGAAGAATTTAAAACACAGTGTAAAACTGAAATATGTGTTGTACTGTACTTACTTTTTATGAATCTTAAACATATTTTATTCCTTTAACAATATAATATGTACCACACATATTTTAGCTGAAATATAGAATTATATAGTTTGGAAAACTTGTGAAACATACTAAGAAGACTGGATTTTTAGGTAAGTTCCAGTAAGATTGTTGTATCAACATTGTAAGAGAACCTCTTATAAGTTCCTCTTTGACTGAGATATCTCATAACTCTCAAGAATTGTATAAAAATTGTAGAAAATGACTAGACTGGTTGAATAATTAGTACTTACAGGGAGCTCCTGGTGGCACAGTGGGTTAAACCGCTGAGCTGCTAAACTTGTTGACCGAAAGGTCACAGGTTCGAATTGGGGAGTGGCGTGAGCTTCTGCCAACCTAGCAGTTCAAAAACATTCAACTGTAACTAGATCAATAGGTACGGCTCTGGCAGGAAGGTAGCAGTGCTCCATGCAGTCATTCTGACCACATGACCTTGGAGGTATCTACGGACAATGCCAGCTCTTTGGCTTAGAAATGGAGATGAGCACCAACCCCCAGAGTCGGACATGACTGGACTTAATATCAGGGGAAAGCCTTTACCTTTTACCTACAGTTGAAAAACATCTTCAAGACTTAAAGAAAAAAAATAGAGGGTTTATTTTGTTTTTTACAGAATGATGAAAATGTGTCACTCCATAACATCACTCTTTCACTGCCCTCAAGCCCGGAACTGCAAGAGCCTGAACTAATTTATAAGGTAAACTACTATTATTGTTTTGGAAAGGAGACTTTCAAGTGAAGAAGATGAAGTGAACATCTCACTAAAGCAGATAATTTAGAGGTTACGTTTACCTAAATAAACGTTAATAGTAAAATTTAATGTGATTTCAAAATGGTTAAGTTTCAATATTCTTTACCTGCAACAATTTGTCAATGTGATTGTTCAAGAAAAGTGCCTTTTGGTTTAGTTGCTTGATATGTTTCTTTAGTATGTTGCTTGCTATAATATTAAGATTGGGGAAGTGGAGTGACCAATACAGCAAAATCTTCCAGTTCTGCTTTCCTTTAACCTCACATTAGTATTTACTTGTAGAGAAGTTGAATGTTTAAAGACCATATAAATGCATCAATTTTACTGTTGAGCCTGGTCTGATGCTAAACAGATCATTGGGATGGAGGAGCATAGCTAGAAGACTTCTCCATCCCTGCTTATTTGCTTAAATTAGACTCCTAATCCAGATTCATGCTGTGAATGTAGGAACAATAATAGAGAAGCAGCTTGTTATTCACTGGTAACACCCACAAACCAATAGTATATAAACATGGAATATATAGTTTACTTACGTGGTCACTCTAGTCCCCTGCTCGTCTGCTTCATCACTCTTACTTCCTCAGAGAACCAAGGGGCTGAGCTAACTCTGCGGGGACGTTCAGGGGCGATAGAATTCCTATCAACAGGTGTTTCATTGCTTTGCAAAAGCTTTCAAACTTGCCCACTCGCAACAGATTTATTTCTGTATTTCTCTTATTGAAACATTAATGGCTTTTTTGTTTTATATATCAGACTGAAGATTTGCTGAATGAAATCACTCAACTTAAGGAAGATTTAAAGAAAAAAGATGATACAATCAAGCAACTAGAGCATCGACTTGTAAGTATACCCTGTACATGTATCCTTTCTCAATTTGGAAGCCTCTTAATGTTTTAGATTACAGCAGACATAAAGACTGACATAATGAGAAATCGTTGCAGTTGTACAGGCTGAGCACCCCTTTCCCAAAATTCAAAATATTCCAAAATTCAGAATTGTCGACATGGACAGCTGAGATAGTGACCCTTTTGCTTTCTGATAGTTCAGCATATGCAAAGTTTGTTTTATGCCCAAAACTATTTAAAATACTGTGTATAAAATTACTTTCAGACTATTTGTATAAAGTGTATATCAAATATAAATTAATTTCATCTTCAGATTAGGGTCCCTTCATCAAGAAAAAGTGCTTGAAGTACATGTATGCAAATATAGCTAATCCAAGTTTTTTAAAGTCGAAATCCAAAGCACTTCTGGACAAAGCATTTCAGATAATGGATGCTGAACAAACACTTCTTGGAAGCATCCAGTTGGAGAAGGCCACAGGACAGAATGTGATCTTTTGAAGAGGATGGTGCTGTCTGTATTAGATGTTAATTTCAGTTACAATGAGCACCTTTTTGGCATGCCTCTATGAAGCCGTGTTGACATTCAAAACTTTACAGGCTTTCATCAGTGTGCTAAGGCCAAAGTGAGTTACATCCTTCCACATTCACTGTGTCAACTAGTGCTGCTTAGAATTTCAGTCCAATATCCGAGTATTTGAGTTTTTGTGGAGATGTACTCAGTATTTAAACAGATAGGAAATCCTTTTTAAAAACCCGCATATGTGAATTGGAGATTTTCTAGGAACTGCTGGATCAATGTTATGTTGTTTTGGGTGGTTTGTGATGTTTATGTGTTCTGAATATGGAAGTGCAAAGTTTTTTTAACAAACTTCTCTCAAATTTAGGCATTGAGATACAAGTTTAGCATATTATGGTGTCTAGTCATTTGCTGCACACATGTAGTTTAAAAACACTTGTAGCAACTGTAAACTTGTAACATGGGGTGAGATTTGATTAGAATCGCATTAACTGTATTGTAACATGAGCGGACATTAACGTCCCACAGTAGGCCCAACTTAGTCTCTTTCCATCCACTAGAAGGCAAAGACTTTTTTTATTCAGACAGGCTTTAGCTATTAATGGATTATTGCAATAATTTTTTTAATTGTGTGTATATGCTATACATTGTATTCATTTTATTATACATCAAATATTTTAAAACTGTTATCAGTTACCACTGGTTTTAATAGGATAATGTATTAATTTTGAGAGCCTGTGTAGTGTAGTGGTTTGAGGGATGGGCTACAACTCTGAAGACCAGGTTTCAGTTGCAGAATCCCACTGTGTGACCTTGGGCCAGTCACACTCTCAGCCTCAGAAAAAGGCAAAGCCAAACCTCCCTCTGAACAAATCTTGCCAAGAAAACCATTTGAGTTGCCATAAGTTGGAACAGACTTAAAGGCACAAGTCTTAGTATACTCGTTTTTTCCCCTTTCTTTTGGGAGAGTGATTTTATATATGTGTTTGTGTGTAAAGGCTAAAATTTAATCTTAAAACATGCAACTGAACTAATTTGGACAGAGAGATATTGGATTTCAACCATTAGCGAACATTTGGACATTTTTCATGTTGTTGACTAAGAATTGCCCAGGTGCTTATGAATGATTGGGGTAGATTTATTCTGGGAGACTGTAAGAATTACAGACATTTTTCACTGCTTTTACATACACTTCACATTTGATTTAGTACTTGTACTGCAGTCTATGTAACTCAGCTTTTGGATCTAAATATCAGATGTATGTCTTATCCATATTCATTGACTATCTGTCTTTTCTGTGTGCATAAAGTCCACAAGGTGTAACTGCAGCAACGACAGCAAGCGGACTGAAAGGGCTATGTGTACGTTTGCTGACAAATTCACACAGACATCCTGGAGAAAAAGTGCTGTGAGTAGTTGATCCAATTTCTGTCCTTTAGCTAAAATAGCTGCTTGTGCAGATCCATTTTTATGTTCATCTTCTCAAATTATTCCCATCTTTTTTTTAAAAAATCAATGTTATATATTTTTTTTTGCTTAAACCCAGGAAGGGGAATGTGTTTTCATGATTTGTCACTACAGTTTTCATGATTTGTCATCGTTAGCTTGGTGATAAGGCTGACAGCAGTCCAGCTTCCGGAAGGCCACTCTTTCTCAAATTTGTGTTTAGAATCTTACAGAAATTGTTACAGCAAGATGTACTACTTCAAGAGTGCTGATATCTTGTCTGGAAATTACTTTCTAATTCTGGAATTTAAATATTGCTATATTGAAAGCAGTATTCTTTGCAAATATGATGAATACTGATTAGAACATTATCGCTCATCAGTATTTGTAGAGTTGGAGTGTACATGTAACAGAATGAAACCTACACGTAGTACCAAACTGAAATAATTTCCTTTCCCTGTCTGTATTTCTTTAAAATCAGCAATGCTGTGTTTACCCCTCGCAGTTGCAGTTCCTCAAAGAAACAGATCCTTTCCTTCTCTTTAAGTACATTGCCTTTATGCATTTTGAAAAGGAGAGGAAAATATTTGCTTGTTCCATGTCCCTGGCTTTTTTCCTCGACATGGGTTGTGTCAAAATCTATAAATTTTGCTTCAAAACCTGCGCTTGACGTAAATATGAGTCCATCTTATATTATACATCTGTATATATGATAATTGCACAGCTTTTTAAAATTCAGACCATTTAAAATAATTGGAGGCTATTACAATAGAGTCCTAAATTATGGAGTTTACTGTTATTTGTTTTTCAATAGCAGATGTACATCATGTACCTCAAGTCTAAATAAATGCCACAAGTGGCACAGGCATTATGAGGATTTGTTTTGCTTCTAGGAAATGGATCAGCACACCTACTCTTGATATAGTTAAGCTTGTTGCCTTGCTGACCTGTACTGCTGGTTATTTAATTGCTCAGCAAAAAGAGGGAAAAGCCCTCTGAAACATTTGCCCTAAAATAATGTATTGCTGTGTGACCTCTAATAAAATATGAGCCTAACTGTTCAATACAACATTCAGAATTGGAAGATCATCAGTACCATTTCCAAGATTTGTTAGCAAATACTGCTTTGTTTTTCCCCCCTTTGTTTTGTTTTGTTTTGTTTATTTGTTTCTCTCCTTTATGGACTAGAAACCATACTTGGTGCAGGGGTATGTGATTTCTGTGAACCAGTTTGTAAACAAAATAACATTTTTCCTTGTTCAATTTCTGTTAAATTCTGTTTTAATTGGTTTTTAATACAACACTTCTTCATTATTGCTGTCTTCTCCCTTCTCTGATAATCCTAGACACCTATCTGTAACTATGGCCAACTCTATAAAATGCAGTTCACTCGCACGTGTGTGCACATGTGGCACGCTGGACAATAATGGAACAAGTATATGCCCAGAGGCAAGACAAACTCATAAAAAGTGCCGTGAATCTAGAATGGATCTTAGTTATCCAATATAATATGAAAAAATACATAATCATTCCTTAGAATCTCAGCTTCTTCTGTGGTTGTTTGTGTTTATATCTTTGTTCAAAAATAGATAACATAGTACAATATGGTTGTACTGAAGCTTCTTTTTGGAAACAAATGATATGATTAAAGTAAATGTAGAAACACTTGAAGTTGAGATTTTAACTGTTCTTGAACTTTTGACTTTAATTTGAATATTATTTGGAAGAAAATATAAGTGAGCCAAACAAGTTTAGCAATGAATTTTGTAGAATGCTATCCTTTATTTCACTCCTTTTATAATCTGGGATAGTGAATTTATACCTATTCAGAAAATTTATTTAATTGATATTTTGAGAACCTTATGTTGAAGACAACCTTTAGAACCATCTCTTCCTCTTTTTCTCTCTTAGTGTTATATGAAGTGAGTCTGAGATATTTTATTTGTGTGAAGTTTTGTTTATGAATAAACAAAACTGTTGTCCAAATATTAAAAATGGACAGGCATGATTTATACTTGTACTACTAAATGTCATTTTTATAATTCTTAATACAATTGTATAGTTGTGCTTAAAAGAAATAATATATGCACACATATAAGCTTGAAAGTAAATTGTAGAAGGCCTATAAAACGAAGTAATAGTAGGCCATATATAAGCTCCATAAAATCTGATGTGGGCCTCCATTTGCAAGACAAACATAATCACCCTTAATCCTCATTTTGTCTGGACCACTTTTCCTGAACTCTGCTCTATTGCTTCTGGATAGATCTGCCGCTATCTTTTTCACACACACACACAGACACACACACATTAGGATACATTAGTTGTATACCAGGTGAAAAAAATGTTTGACCTCATTTTGATCACCCTTTTATCATTCTTTAAAATTCGAATGCAGTGTTGCTTTAGCAAAATCCCATTTAGAAATATAAATACTAAATTATGTATTGCATTATTTATGTCCCATTGTTTGGGGCAAAATGGCTTACAAACAATTAAACTCAAAAACAATATTTAAGACGTGAATGATTTTGGTTTCACCAAACTAATTCTGCTAGGATATATATATGTGTGTGTGTTTGTGTGTGTGTGTGTGTATGTGTATGTGTATGTGTATGTGTATATATATATAAAGCCCGTTTTATCAGAAGCAGTCCAGGAATTCATGGCTTCCATGGTAATCATGGGATTACCATAGAAGAGTATCCTGACACTATTTCAACTATATTTTGGCTCTAGATGTGTGTCAAGGCATACCCTTGAGTATTTTTATTATCTATCAGGATGATCTTTGATAGGATAGGATCTTGTATGATTTAGTTTTACTAGGACTCCCGGTATCTACTGTTAGAAACTATTTTTTATCCAGAAAGTCTCCTGGATGTTCCAGGGTATTTTGCTGCCTTTAGAACTGATGATCCTGTAGATACCTTGGTTGACCTGTGCAATGGAGAGGTGATCCACAGCTATGATTACTGTAGCAAGCCCTTTAGTTTAAATGGAAAGCATGGACTTACTGGTTTTCTGACAAACTCAAGGCAGCAAAGTACTTCTAGAGTAACAGTGGAAAAAAATATGGGGAAATATAATCAAACACAGCCAAAAGCGCATGTTAAGGCTCATGCTGCAGTGATTACAACAACATAGAAACTGTTCTTTGTTGCTTCATTGTATCAGCTGAATTTCATTCAGTACATCTTTTGTAAACAATCAGCGATTACATTCTAGATAAGACTGGGATTCACATGATTTTCCCATTGTTGTTAGACTGCAATTCCCGGGACTTTTGTAGCACTTAGCTACCCGTAGTTGTATGGAATGCTGAGAATGAACCGTTCCAATTTTAAAAGGGTTGTATGATCCCTATCCCATTCAAATCCTTAGTGTAATGAGGAGCTGTTCTCAGACACTTTCAGTGATGAACTGGCAAAATATTTTTGACATAATCACATGTTTCTCTTTCTGAATGGTTTTCACTTTAAGACTCTGGGAGGTATCTATGACAAACACTTGTCCAGTTTAATGGATGCATTTCACTTTGTTCAGCCTGATGGTGGAAAAATTAGTAGGAGAAAGAAGACGGCTTTTTTCCTGTACATCAGAGATGTCTGTAGAAGGATGCACAGTGAAGTGGTGGAGGTTGGGAATGCTTTTTGAAAGTAACTTCTTTTAAGGAAGCAGTTTGAAAAAGCCTTTGCTGGACCACACCACTTTAGATAGCTATAATCTAGTTTCTAATCTTCTATCTATCTATCTATCTATCTATCTATCTATCTATCTATCTATCTATTTATTTATTTATTTATTTATTTATTTATTTATTTATTTATATTTCAAACTTATATGCCGCCACTCCCCTAGGGCTCAGAGTGGCTTACAAGAACAAACTAAAATCTAACACAAACAACATATCAAAGATCAAAAGCCTGTCGAAACAAATATGTCTTACAAAACTAAGGACTTATGGCAAATGGTCGCATCACATCTCCAGACTTTTTTAGGTAAAACTGATGAATCCATTGCAGTTTGAATTTGGGTGTTGATGAATAAATTAAGGGTCAGTTTTGATAAGACACCAGTACTGCTGTAGAGGAGAAAAAACAGGCTGGAATTGTGCTCACAACCTTTTCTGGATGCAAAAAGTTGAGATTTGTGCTGTTGGACTCTAGGATTATAGTTGTCCCTCCATTTTCATGGAGGTCATGGGCACAGCTCCTTCACAAAAGTGGAAATACTGCAAATAATTCTGGAGAAGGGGTAATTGGGTGCCATTGCTGTGGTCCCTGGAGTGATGATGGGGGAGAGCTGGCTCCACTTTCCACTTCACTGATCTTGCAGAAATTGGCTCCTTTTTCTCTTCCTACTCGGCATGAGTCTTTCCTTTGCCTGGGCAACAGAAAGGAACATATTGAAAGGACTAGAAACATGGAGCAAAATGGAAGAGGAGGAGGAGTAACTGGCCCTGATGGATCTGTGTTTCTCTCCCCCCCCCCTATTTTGCCCCCAATACTCCTATTTCTTTGTTCAAGGGGAAGAGGGATTCATGAAAAACAGAAAGAGGAGCATGAGGCCAGCTCCTCCTCTTGTCTGTGTGTCTCTATTTTATCTGAAAAGGGAAGGATGATACCAGACAGAACAGACACTTGTAGCAGATACATTTTCCAAACAGCCCTGATTTTAATCTCCTGAGGATCGGGCTGCTATGTGAATATTCACATGGCAGCCCTAACTTCAGGAATCAGTGCTGTTTCTGACTAGTGAATAATCAAAATTATGAATGTGAAACCCACAAAAGGGGAGGTCCACAACTGCACTTCTATCAGTCCACAGGGCTGCTGTGACCAGGAGTGTCTTTTCCTAGCTCCTATTGATGTGCCAATTCTTCTCCCTAGAAAAAGCACATCAGTGCCAATAGTTCATGTTTTAATTACCAGTCTTTCTAGGCCGCCCTTGAAAACAAAT